GACCAGGGGCTGACTACATAGGGACCCCTTGCCTGGCACTGGGATGCGGCCACCTCTGGGGATAGAGGGGGGTGCAGACCAGGGGCTGACTACATAGGGACCCCTTGCCTGGCACTGGGATGCGGCCACCTCTGGGGGCAGAGGGGGGTGCAGACCAGGGGCTGACTACATAGGGACCCCTTGCCTGGCACTGGGATGCGGCCACCTCTGGGGGCAGAGGGGGGTGCGGAGCAGGGGCTGACTACATAGGGACCCCTTGCCTGGCACTGGGATGCGGCCACCTCTGGGGGCAGAGGGGGGTGCAGACCAGGGGCTGACTACATAGGGACCCCTTGCTTGGCACTGGGATGCGGCCACCTCTGGGGTGGGGTGTCTGTGACCCTGCACAGGAAGCCAAAGAAATGGCAAAGGGAGGGGCCCAGAGTCCGAGGGGATGCAGCTGCCAAGGCCGTGCTTGGGAAGGGACAGCACTGCATCGTGCTGCCCCCAATGCACCCCTGGGGCTCCCCCAGCCCACACATGGGGGTGGGAGGAGTCAGCTGGTCTCCAGAGGCAGAGGGGAAGGGGAGCTGAGCCAGTCTCACGCGTGCCAGGGGAGGAGGGCAGCAGGCCCAGGGGCATCGTGGAGGGTGTCAGGGCTATCGCTAGATGTCGGAGCCAGCTCCCCCGAGCCGCTACAGGCAGCGCCCGTGGGCCCTGGAGCTTGTTAGAGCCCATCACTGTTGGGGTGGGGGGGGACCCAGTCGTGGGGGGCAGGGTCAGACTGAGGCCAGCCCCTCCCCTGCATCGCCTACCAGTGCACCGGCACCGCCTTGCTCTCCAGGATGGTCTGGGCTGTGCTCCAGCTGAAGCGCACAAACTGGGGGTACCCGAACACGGGGTCCAGGCACTGCGCCAGCCACTCCTTGGTCTTCGGGTCTGGGGGACAGGGAGAGATGAAAACAAGGGAGCCCCCAAAACCACCATTCACAGCTGCTTTCCCCACCCCCACCAACTGGCGGCATTAGCTTTTCAGTCAGGACTCCTGGGTTCCGTCCCTGGCTCGGGGAGGAGAAGAGTCTAGTGGTTAGAGCCGGGGGCTGGGAGCCAGCAATCCTGGCTTCTCCGCCCAGTTTCATCACTGCCCTGCCCCATAACCTCAGCACCATGACCTTCGCCTGCGTCTCTGGAAGGCAAATCCAGGCTGATGCAGCCAAGGGGGTTTAAGGAAGGCTGTGGGGGAGGGGGGGCAGCACAGGCCCCCTCCCCCTCCCCGTAAGAGGTGCAAGAGCCTGGACCCAGTGAAAGAAGGGAGCAGGTAACTCCTGGAGCTGGGTGGGAGACAGGGCGAGGGGGCGGGATATGGAGCCACATGGGCCGGCCAGGGTTTATCTTAAGCTCCACCCCGCGATCAGACGGATCCCTGCCCCTGAAGGGCCATTTACCATTGGGGTACCCAGACCCATACTCCAGGCTCACGTCCCCCAGATCCTCCAGGAACCGCCAGTTCTTCACAGCACGATCCCGCGCCACCTGCCAACGCAGACAGGCGGCGGCTCAGGGCAGCGCCTCGAGGAGCACTCTCTCCTGGCCCCAGCCCGCCCCTTTGCCAGGCTGTTCATTCAGGGACCCGTCCCCCAGCCGTGAGATGCAGCCACCTCTGGGGAGGAGCGCAAGAGCTGTTGCGCCGCCACACAGTGTTTGGGACAGGAAGTGAAGCTGAATCCCCGCATTAGTTCAACCAGTAGCACCCCAATAAGTGGATCTGGGGTGCCCCATATTTCACAGACCTGTCCCACCCAGGCCCAGTGCTCCGAGGAGGGCAGGAGGTCTGGCAACTCCAGCCCCCTCCTGAAGAGGGGGCCCACAACATAGAGAGGACCCCAAAACCTCACCTTGGCACAGATGCTGGCTGCACTGACGATGGGGAAGAGGGAATCAGCCTTCGGCCTCACGGTCACCTCCAGCTCTGGGAAGTGCCGCTTTAGCTTCTCCTGGTACTTCTCCGCCGGCCCCACCGTGTCCACGAAGACCTGCCGGGGTGGGGGGGACCCCATGAGAGTGGAAGCCAGGCCTATGGGCAACACACTGCTCTTCCCTCTCCCCCGCCCCACTAAACCTTGTGCTGGGACCAGGGCCCCACATGGGGAGGTGGCTGCCTCGTTGCTGTATAGAGAAACTGAGGCACAGGTGGCAGGAAGTGGGGGAGCAAGCGTCATGTCAGTGCTATGCCCACTGGCTAAGGCTGGCGATGGGATTGGGACACTTGGGGGGCAGATACCTGCCCCACGGGGACACTGCGGCCAGCTCACCTCTGTCACCTGTACGCCCGCGTCCAGCACGTGCTGTATCAGTCCGATGGCCGTGTCATGGGACAGGGCGTTGAGGTTGTATTTCGCCCTGGCCGGGAGAGCAGAGGGGTCAGTATCTGCTGGAGACCTGGGCCCCACCATGCCAGGCACCGCCTGGACATAGAGCAACCTCTTGGAGGCTCCACTTCCTCCTGGGACCCGGCTCGGAGGGTTAGCACAGGCAGGGACACGTGGCCTTTCAGTCCGATGGCCGTGTCATGGGACAGGGCGTTGAGGTTGTATTTCGCCCTGGCCGGGAGAGCAGAGGGGTCAGTATCTGCTGGAGACCTGGGCCCCACCATGCCAGGCACCGCCTGGACATAGAGCAACCTCTTGGAGGCTCCACTTCCTCCTGGGACCCGGCTCGGAGGGTTAGCACAGGCAGGGACACGTGGCCTTTCAGCGCTGGCTGATTCAGCCCCAGGCGGGGGGCCTGACTGGCTAGGGGGGGCGGCTCAGGCAGAGGGGGAATGGGGGGGCTGGTGAGCCCATGCACACCTCCTTCCCCGGGGCTCTCACCGCTGCTGCATGCTGGTGGAGATGAGGTTGGGCGAGAGGATATGCACGGCCCAGCCGATAAAGTCCCCTGGCCC